TGTTGCTTCATTGAGCTTCAACTTGCTATCCGTTGGATAATTGTGTGATCTTGGCTTCCAATGCTTGTTTACCAAGAAGGAAGTTGTTATATCTAAGAAAGATGATGATCAAGTGATATTCAAAGAATTTAGATACAACAACATATATCTAGTGGACTTCACCTCCGAAGATGCTAATTTGAAGACTTACCTATTCACCAAAACAACACTTGGGTGGCTATGACATAGAAGACTTGCTCATGTTGGGATGAGCTCACTCAAGAGGCTAATGAAGAATGATTTGGTGAGAGGATTGAAGGATGTGAAGTTTGAGAAGGACAAGCTTTGTAGTGCATGTCAAGCCGGCAAGCAAGTTGCAAATACTCATCCAACAAAAGCTTTTATGTCAACCACAAGAGTGCTAGAGCTTCTTCATCATGGACTTATTTGGACCAACAATATACAAGAGTTTAGGAGGAAATCTTTATTGTCTTGTGATTGTTGATGACTATTCAAGATACACATGGGTATTCTTCCTTCATGACAAATCCAAAGTTGCATCATGCTTCAAGAAGTTTGCCAAGAGAGCACAAAATGAGTTTGAAGTGAAGCTCAAGAAGATTAGAAGTGACAATGGCAAATAATTTGACAACACAAACATAGAAGCCTATTGTGATGAAGTTGGGATCAAGCATGAGGTCTCCGCAACATATACTCCTCAACAAAATGGTGTAGTTGAGAGAAAGAACCGAACATTGATCACTCTTGCAAGAACAATGCTAGATGAGTACAACACTCCTGAAGCTCTATGGGCGAAAGCTATCAACACCGCATGCTATGCATCCAACTGCCTATTCCTTCAAAAGTTCCTTGGCAAGACACCTTATGAGTTGCTCAATGGGAAGAAGCTAGACGTCTCCTTTAGGGTGTTTGGTTGCAAATGCTACATCTACAAGAAGCAGCAACACCTAGGGAAGTTTCAAAGACGTTGTGATATTAGTTTTCTTGTTGGTTACTCATTAAAGTCCAAAGCATATAGAGCATTTAATCATGCCACTGGCTTGGTTGAAAAAACATATGATATGGAATTTGATGAATCTAATGGCTCCCAAGGAGCACATGAGAATCTTGATGATGTAGGTGATGAACCATTGAGGGAGGCTATGAAGAACATTCCGGTTGGAGACATCAAGCCTCAAGATGATAAAGATGATGTACAAGTGATCAATCAACCATCTTCATCAAATGTGCCACAAGATGGTGAAAAAGATGGGAGAGTAGAAAATGAAGACACTCATGTCTCCCATGATCAAATGGTGGTGCAAGCACAAGATGTTGATGCTCCACAACCTCCTTCTCAAGTGGTCAATAGAAGAAATACACCTCTACTATAAGATCATCCACAAGATCTCATCATAGGGAGTCCATCAAAGGGTGTAATGACTCACTCACAAAAACTTGCTTCATTTATTGCACATCACTCTTTTGTCTCTTGCTTTGAGCCTACTAAGGTAGAAGAAGCTCTTCAAGATCTGGATTGGATAAATGCCATGCATGAAGAGTTGAACAATTTCACCCGCAATGAAGTTTGGACTCTTGAAGAGCGGCCAAAAGGTGCAAGAGTTATTGGAATAAAGTGGGTGTTCCACAACAAGCAAGATGATCAAGGCATAGTTGTGAGGAACAAGGCAAGACTAGTTGCAAAGGGGTTCTCTCAAGTTGAAGGTTTGGATTTTGGACAGACCTTTGCACCGGTTGCAAGACTAGAAGCCATTCGTATCCTCCTTGCATATGCATCACATCATGAAATGAAATTATATCAAATGGATGTGAAAAGTGCATTTTTAAATGGCTTTATTAATGAACTAGTCTATGTTGATCAACCTCCCGGGTTTGAAGACCCTAGATATCCTAATCATGTCTATAGGTTGTCCAAGGCGTTATATGGGCTTAAGCAAGCCCTAAGAGCTTGGTATGAGCGCCTTCGGGATTTCCTCATTAAGAAGGGCTTCACCATTGGGAAGGTCGACACAACACTATTCACCAAGAAGCTTGATGGACATATCTTCATTTGTCAAGTGTATGTTGATGATATCATCTTTAGATCATCAAATGAAGATTCTTGCAAAGAGTTTGGTGAATTGATGTCAAAGGAGTTGAGATGTCAATGATTGGAGGGCTTACATTTTTTTTTGGTTTTCAAATCAAGCAAATGAGAGAAGGGATTTTTATCTCTCAAGAGAAATATACAAATGATCTTCTAAAGAGATTCAAGATGGATGAATGTAAGCCAATCAAGACACCAGTGCCAATAAATGGATATCTCGACCTAGATGAGGGAGGTAACATGGTTGATCAAACTCTCTACCACTCTATGATTGGTAGCTTGTTATATTTAACCGCATCTAGGTCCGACATCATGTTTAGTGTGTGTATGTGTGCTAGATTTCAAGCTAATCATAAGGAAACTCATTTGATTGCCGTTAAAAGAATCTTTAGGTATCTTAAGCACACACCAAGCATTGCCCTTTGGTATCCCAAAGGAGCTATATTTGAATTAGTTGGCTATTCCGATTCGGATTATGCTGGTTGCAAAGTTGATAAAAAAAGCACATCCGAAGGGTGCCATTTGCTTGGTAGATCACTTGTGTCTTGGTCCTCTAAGAAACAAAATAGTGTGACTTTGTCCACCGCCAAAGCAGAATACATTGCCGCGGGTGCTTGTTGTGCACAAATTCTTTATATGAAACAAACTTTGCTAGACTATGTAGTTTTAGAAAAAGTACCTCTTTTGTGCGACAATGAAAGTGCGGTAAAACTTGCAAATAATCCGGTTCAACACTCTCGCACCAAGCACATAGATATCCGCCATCACTTTCTTAGAGATCATGTTGCAAAGAATGATATTTCACTAGAAGGTGTAAGGACCGTGGATCAATTGGCGGATATCTTCACTAAACCGCTAGATGAGGCGACTTTTTGTTGATTGTGGAATGAGCTCAATGTTCTTGATTTTAGCAACTTCTCTAGAAAATGAGCTTGTGTTGTCCCTTGCATTGCATTGTAATATACAACATGTTTACTTTATGGTAATGCACTTAGGGCTTGTCTAACATGGTTAAGATAACCGTCGCAAAGCGTGTGAAGAAGCTTAACCTTGGATCAAACTTGACAAGCTACTAGATTTACTTTCAAGTATTGCATTGCATATGCATGAATGTTGCTTTGTCGTTTATCTTCAATTGCCCTCATATTGCCTATTTTCTTAAAAAGAATTATAGCCTAAGGCAAAATATTTTTGAAAAATTTGAGGGTTTGAGAAAGGTCACTCACATCAGTCCCAATTGGTGTTTATTTAGATCTTATTGGAGTTGTGACTTGATTGGGAACAGGCAACACGAAGGACTTTGAAGATTTGCTGGAAAAAGAGTGACCGGACGCTGCACCGGACTCTAAAGTCACTACCGGACTCAGGCTCTTTGCCGAGTGCCTGTGACACTCGACAAATCCCCATATATACTCGGCAAAGCCTTTGCCAAGTGTAACCCTCAGCAAAGATCACTCGTTAAAGCCGGTGACGGCAAAGGCCTCTTTGCCGAGTGTCTTTTGTCGGGCCCGTAAACCACTCGGCAAAGAAAAGTTGCCTGATGGCGCCAATTGACGGTGACGGTCGCTTTGCTGAACGCCTCATGGAGGACACTCGGCAAAGCCCGCCCTCTTTGTCGAGTGTGGCACTCGGCAAAGGCAGGGAGGCTTTGCCGAGTGCCTTACTTATGGCACTCGGCAAAGGCAGGGAGGCTTTGCCAAGTGCCTTACTTGTGGCACTCGGCAAAGGCAGGGAGGCTTTGCCAAGTGCCTTACTTGTGACACTCGGCAAAGCCTCCCTTACTTTGCCGAGTGCAATGGCCATAACACTCGGCAAAGCCTCCCAGCTTTGTCAAGTGTCTTGGTGATTGCACTCGGCATAGCTGGAAAATTTGCTTTTTTTTGCTTTTTTTGTTTATTGCATCCACACATACATATATCACACAACCATCACATATATATCACATATCACACAACAATCACATATATCACACAGCCATCACATATAATCCATAACCATGACAAATATCATCACAAGTTGTCCACAAGTATCACATAGTCCACAAATATCATCACAAGTTGTCCACAAGTATCACATAGTCCACAAATATCATCCAAGTGCTGCCACAAGTGCCACCATTCACAAATAAGCATCACAAGCACAAGTCTATCTACCTCTATTGTTGACGGCCACTCCACCGGTCCCACTGCGACGGAGGTGTGCCCTGAGCTGGAGGTGTGCCATGAACATCATTCGATGCCGCCGATTGCCCCTGCACAAAAGAGAAGTGATTGCATGTGTGATTGCATGTGTGAGACAAGATTTAACTTCTGATGTGAGTAAAATTCAGATGAATGATGACAAGCCGTAGCTCATTAAGATTGATCCTCGAACATGGATAGAAATGGCTAGGCCTTCTGTGGTTTTTCCTTGTTCAATTTCTACTAGCAAGAGAATTGAATGTTCACAGAGAATGTAGCGTTGCACATAAAAATTTCTATTGTTGCTCGTATACTCCATCCATTCCAAATTGATAGTCGTTTTTAGTTTTGTCCTAAGTCAAACTTGTCTAAATTTGACCAAGTTTATAGAAAAAATATAGTGACATTTACAATATCAAGTAAATGTATTATCAAAATACATTTCATGGTGTATCTGATGAATCCAGTTTGATATTGTAGATGTCTGTGCATTTTTCTATAAACTTGGTCAAATCTAGAGAATTTTGAGTTAGGACAGTCTAAAACGACTTAAAACTTGGGAAGTGGGAGTACTTTCTTCAACTTCAGTTGCTGTTTCATATAGGACAATCTTATCCTGTCTTGAATGCTCAATGGTACCACCTGAAACGCCTAACTTTGTGACATTCTCTGCAGTTGTATCCCATGTGGGCATGTCTATGGGAGATCTTGCCTAGAGAAGTGGCTAACCCAGCATGGGAACCGAAGTGCGAAGGTGTGTTTGCCAGAGGGCTATTCTAATTACTTTGGTCATGGTTCCGTCTCTGGGAGATATCATTCTCTGCAATTTGAAGTTTCTCCTTTCTTCTAATATTTCAGTGCCCTCAGTGTGCCAAAAGGTTTAAACAGAAGGACATCATCAATCTCTATGCACAAGAGGTTGCCATTCCTAATAGTGAAGTTGAGAAGGTTAGATTGGTTATTTTACTTTTTTTTTGTCTGCAAATCTTATTGGTTGTGAACTAAAGCTGGTTTCAACTCTTCAGGAAATTTCATATTTAAGAGAGGAAATTGATTCTCTGAAAAAGAAGGTAATTAATCTCATTATAATGCATTTGTGTGGCCCTTTAGCTTCTAGCTGTACATTCCTTCTCAGCAACAAGAGTGTACAAAAAGAAATATTTTGTGTGCTTCTAGTATTTATAATTTTTCTATCTTGTATTTTCTTGCCGGAAGGTTGTGTGCGCCATGATAAAATGTTTGAGGAGATTACCAAGGTTTGTCTAGCCACCTTTGGCTGCTTGTTTCTCTGTTCACTTTACAAAGATGCTGGTTGTCACTTCAACTAGAACTTTCTGCTGTCATTTAACTGTGACCTGTGCCTTGCACTTGCAGAGGCAGAGTGATGGTGGTAGCTCAAAGAGACAGGTAATGACAGTTAAATTTTCAGTGATTAATCATTGTAAGGTATTTTACTTAAATTATCTTTTGGTTCCTCTCTAAAGAAAGTGGCTGAGCACTCATATGAAGTCGCAAATCTGGAGCCATCTACCCCAGCAACAATAAATTTTAGCTTACAGGTAACCATATAAGAATTTAATTTCTTTCCCATCACACTTCTCATGAAATATCTCACTCTGACATTGTCATATCTCATACTCGTGTATTTGACTATTTGTGAGGTTCCACTTCATGGCTTTATTAGAGAGTAATTGCGAGTACCTTGAATTGATGCAACTATAGCAAATAGTTAAATAAAGCTAAGTATCAGACTATAGGGATTTATAGAGCCAGTGCCTGTAGGATTATTTAATTGTTTGGATTCACATTCATATATCCATATTCACATTCACATTTAGATTTAAGGTAGAGAAACTCACAGAAGTGACAGCAGGATCATTTGGATTCACATTCATATATCCATATCCACATTCACATTTAGATTTAAGGTAGAGAAACTCACAGGAGTGACAGCAGGATCATTTGGTGGAGTGAATATCATCGGTGGTGGAACATAGCCTGAGTGAGCTCCAAGACCTTGAATATACTGAAACATCTGCTCCATCCTCCGTCGATCCTCCTCAGCCCTCGCCTCAGCCTCCTCCTGTCGCCTCCTCTCTTCCGCCACCTCGGCCTACAATATTTCACCCCAATGATACAACGCAAAGCAAAGGTATGTAAAAATCAATGAACGACGAATAAAACAGAAATAATCTTGAGTGCCTGCACCGTGTGCTGTGTACAGTCCGGCCGTGTGCGTATGGCCGGGCTCGAGCTCGTGCTTCTTGCTCGAATCTAGGAGAGAGACCTAGTACGGGTCGGGTCGATTGCGCCGTCGCCAATCCAGTACCGCCCATGCTTCTTCCCTCCTCCCAACCTCATGACGACTTCTCCATCAAGGTCCTCAGAGGTGGGATCGTACTCTAGCCCATGGACCTCCCTTGCCATCGCTGTGTACTCAGTGAGGCGGGTGTGGACGGACGAGTTGATGTACGCCTCGGGCGGGTCTTCTAGGTTGTAGTGGACGTCGGACGTCGCCTTGCCCTTGTGGGCCATTGCCCACGCCTCGAACTAGGAGACGGGCGCGCCACCATGTGACGCCGACTGCGAAAGAAACAGCCGGATGATTAGAAATTTGCATAGTTAAGCTTTAGAATAAAGAAATGGATTGATGTACCCCATTTAGCTACGTGGGGCCGGGAGGCAAAGGTTGCCTTGATGGTGTGGTGCACCGTGCATCATCAAACGCCGCTCTCGGCAAGCGTTGTCAGCGTCTCCCACCACTCGGGCTGCACCACTTGTCCACCATTGCCTCCCAGCCAGTCTTAGCCCAGCACACCACCATGGAACCACATACACGACATCAAGTATATATAGATCAAATTAAGCTTATTTAATCTTAGAAAAAAATCAGTATTAATCTTATATATTTACCTTCATGTATTGTTCCTTGGTCAGCGTCTCTTTTCTTGCCTCTTTTTTCGTGACCTTCCTAAACTCGAAGGTCGCGTTGTATGTCACGACGGCCTGGAGGCGCGCCTCGTAGTGCATGTCACCCATGAGTTTGTGACAAGCTTTGTTAGTCTGCCGCCCTCGCCACCACCTCCCATCCCGGCTCAGATGTCTCAAGAAATCCTCAGATGTAGACGCAATGTATCCTATCATTATTTGAAGAATGTCCAATGAATGTGATGAATTGAGCGGTGTAGTGAGACGAAGACTTACCCACAGCCTCGTAATCACCGCTTCTGCTTTGTGGCGTAGATCCCGCCATCCCGATCATATGCATCTGCTGCAGATGGCGTAGGGGGGAAAACGTCCGGTGCCGGGCCGCCGCACTCCGACAAAGTCAACAAAGCCAGGGAAGTGTGTCTTGCACAAAACACCAAGAACGCCATTGGGATGGCGTCCGTGACCACCTGCACCCACAATCACGAAACCCCTGCCCAAGTGATCAAGAAAAATTATTAGTTTCAACATAACAAATGAGAAAATAGTGACAACATGTAAAGTTACTTACTTTGAACCACCGGGTCGAACCATCGGGCGTCTCTCAAGAGGTATCGATCGCTTCGGGAGTTGCGAGGGACCTCGCTGATAGAGTTTAGCCATGCCAGAGGAAGAGGAGCCCCCTGCCGCCGCACCACAGGAAGAGGAACCCCCCGCCGCCTCCTCAGCCTCGTCCTCCTCGTCCTCGGGCACCTCCTTGTCGTCGTCCTCCACCTCCTCCTCATCCTCCACCACCTCCTTGTGCTCCTCGGGCACCTCCTCCTCGTCGTCCTCCACCGCCTCCTCGTGCTCCTTGGGCACCTCCTCCTCCTCGGACTCCTCCACCTCCTCCTCCCTCTGTGGCGGAGGAGCCTGACGACCCTTGTGTTTCCTTGGAGGTGGCGGAGGAGCTACCTAAGAGACCCCCGCCACCTGGCATCTTTGTTTAATCACCTGCAATTACAAAGAGATACAAAATGAATAAAACATAATTAGAAAGAGTTGTAAAATAAATAAGACGTATTGCAAAATGAACAAAACATAATTAGAAGGCAACATAATATTACATGTCTTAGAAATAATCATCATGATCGGTATTAGCTGGATCATAAGTCTCATCATCACTATCATGCATGTCAACTTCCATGTTGATATCATGACCATCCGGAGGAGCAATGTTGTCATCACTGTCATTGCCTAATTCTAATCGCCGAAGTAATTCTAAGTCCTTCACATTTTGAACCTCATCCCCATCGTCCTCATCATCAACCCTTTCATTGTCTACTTCCATTCTGACCGGATCGGTTATGTCTATCACAAAGCTCCCTTGTAGCCCCTCTTCTTGAAAGAACTCTCTGTTATATGTGTTTGGGTCAAAGTTGTAATCTTCATTGTTTGGGATAGGTAGTTTACTGTGTGGCGATACCTTGTTCACAACATCCCAACCCTTAAGATGCGGGTCATCTTGGCATGCCCATGGGAGATAATAAACTTGTGTGGCCTGTTGAGCCACGATATAGACATTGTCTCCTGGGTACTTGGAATCCTATCGAATTTCGACTAGCCCAAGATTAGGGGTCCGTCTTATTTTTTTAGGATCAAACCAATGGCATTTAAATATGACAGGATTAAGAGGTTTGCGGCCATGAAACGTGAGTTCGTATATTTCTTCAACTCTTCCATAATAATCGAGCCCATCAAGGGCAGGTGTGAAAACTCCGGTATTTGTGGTTCTTCGATTGGGCCGACTCTGCTCGTGTCTTGTTGTGTGAAAACGATATCCATTCACGTCATAACCAGTAAATGACATGACCCTAAAGGCACAGCCACCGGCAACCTGACTCAACTCGGCGCTCATAGATGCATCGGTTTGGTCCTGCAAGCTCAAGCAGGATAGTTCGTTATATCATTCGCACGTACAAGCAACTTGTAATCTCAAACTAAGTACGAGCTAAATTAGAACGTACCTTGCGTTTGAACCAAGAAATGAAATTGGGTTTTCCATTTCCTGCACCCTGTTTAAGAAGGGTGTGAAATTCCCGCGGGGTAGGCGCCCTTGATCGATGCCAGAATTCATGAGTAAATTCCCTGTACCGACGAGAAACAAGGGGGTTGGATGTAGAATAGTGACTAGTCGAGAACAAGTTTGTTGAAAATAGTGACTTACCCCATGTACGGTTCCACTTCTTCGAGGTTGGTCAGTACATATAGCATGATAGTGTGCCACTCTTCAGGACTCAAGGTCTTGAGGGTCTTACCACTTGCACTTCCGAGTTGCCCTCGGAAAAGGCTGAGGTTCGATTCATTTTCCCCAGCATTGTAACGAGGGGGTGGATTATGCACGCTAGGAAGGTTGTCACCATAGTATGTTGTTGTGAAGTTAGACACCTCCTCTAGAATCGATGCTTCTGCGATGGAAGCTTCAATCTTGCATTTATTTCTACATTTCTTTCAAACAACCTTTAGGGTTCTCTCAATTGAATAGCACCAACGGCCCTGCACAGGCCCCCCATTCGTGCCTCATACGGGAGGTGCAAAATCAAATGCTGCATCGGATTGAAGAAGCCTGGTGGAAAGATTTTCTCCAGCTTACAGAGCAACACAGGTGCCATTTTTTCCATGTCTGCAACCACGGCCCGAGATAACTCCTTAGCACAAAGCTGGCGGAAGAAATAGCTCAACTCTACCAGCACTTGCCAGACATGATCTGGGACATAGCCTCGAACCATCACCGGAAGAAGCCGCTCAAGCCATATATGGTAGTCATGACTCTTGAGCCCATTGATTCGCATAGTAGATAAGTTCACCCCCCTCCTCAGATTCGCTGCATACCCATCAGGGAACATTAACGTTTAGAACCATTCTAGTACTTCCCTCCTTTGGGGCCTGCTTAACGTGAATTCGGCCTTAGGCCTAGTCCATTTTTTGCCATTTCTAGGAGGCTGCATCTCTTGCTTTGGTCTGTTGCATAACGTTGCCAGATCCACTCTAGCCTTAACATTGTCCTTTGACTTATCAGTGTCCATGATTGTTCCCCAAAGTGCCTCAGCGATATTCTTTTCAGTGTGCATTACATCAATGTTATGTGGAAGAAGAAGGTCATCAAAATAGGGGAGCCTCTCCAAGCCCGACTTGTGAGTCCATGCATGTTGCTCGCCATATCCCACAAAACCACCTTCTACTTCATTGACCTCGAGAGCATCTATCTGAGCACGGACCGCGGCACCTGTCATCATCACCGGTGGAGGGTCTGTAACTTTGAGGCCTTTCGTAAAGTTCTTGGTGTCTTGTCTGAATGCATGGTCAAGAGGGAGGAATTGTCGATGTTTGTCAAATGAGGAATACTTGCCACCCTTCTTCAACCAAATAAACTTCAGAGCTATCTTGCATACTGGGCATGGGAACTTGCCGTGAACACACCAGCCATAGAATATTCCATATGCTAGGAAGTCATGCAGGGAGTAGTGTACCAAACATGCATCTTGAAGCTTCTCTTTGTAGCTCGGTCGTATGTCCATACCCCTTCGTCCCAAGCATTGAGCAATTCATCAATCACAGGCTCCATGAACACACCCAAACTATTCCCCGGGTGTTTAGGAATTATCAACGACAAGAATATGTTCTGCCATTGAAAGATGACGCGGGGGAGATTGAGCGGGATAACGAACACAGGCCAACAAGTGTATGGGGCAGCCATCATTCCATAAGGATTGAACCCATTTGTTGCCAGTGCAACACGAACAT